AATATTCATGCGGTGGCCCAAAGAGCACACCTGACTTACCTTGGTTTTAGGAGATGGTTTTTGTGTGTTTTTTTCTGACTCTTTTGTTAGGACAATAGGCATGGAGTTTATACGACTGGCCTCCTATAAAAGAAGTACAAAAGAATCAGTAAAAACAAAAGAATATCATCGTGATCAGAAATCACAATGTACCAAAAAGCAATTTTTAAGGGAAAGGGGTATTTCTGAATTGAGTTGTTCACATTAGAAGTTTGTGAGCCTGTAGTGAGGAGTGGACATGGTTCTTTTTTATTAGTCACAAGCAACAATGAAGTAAAAGAAGATGGTGATGGAGTGGGTATAAGGTATATAGAACATGGACAGTCAAAGATGACCATTAAAAGTCTTCTTTTTGGATAATGATAATGATGAACAGCTATATACCAGAGACATTTTGTGAGGGTGAAGTAGGGAATGGGTTCAAAACGGGGAGGGGGGAAGAGAGGGAAATGCACTGGACTATGGTGATGGCACGTGGGTGATTTGGTGATGGGAAACCCAGGGGGACTGCACCTGAGATGGAAAAATGCACAAAAATATGTAAAAATAAACTATTATAAAATTAAAAAAAAAAATCTTATTTTCGGGCTCTCCCTGGTGGCGCAACGGGTTAATGCACAGCACTAAGGAGCTAAAATCACTTCAGCATGAGTTCGATCCCCCCCCCCCACAGGTGACCCACATGGCACAGCAGACCTATCCTGACCTGCTGCTGCTCCCCTCAGCAATGCACTTCAGAAGATCTGCCTATTCTGTAGCCCACTCTGTCTCCAGTGAATCCTCTCACTGCCCCTGTACCTCTGGCCTGTACCCTCGTTCTGTATGCATAAATAATTTTTTAAAAAAATCTTACTTACATTGTGTCATGAACACATCCACAGACAGTTTTCCCCTGTGGGAAAACTGAGTCTTTAACTCTCTAAAATATTAATAATGACCAGCCAGATTTACTAACTTTACTCACACTATTTTACAAAGGGTTCTGATTCTACAAATAATTTCTCTTAAATTCCTTCAGTAGCTTAGCAAACCATTATTGAATAATAGTACTTTCAAACAAATATCCTCATGAAGGAAAATATCTGATTAT